CGCTAGTGTTCCATATCTCCCCTCTCTACCTATGGGACATATGGAACACTAGCGCCCTCTTATTTTTGTAAGAATTTTGTTTACATGGAGTTCGGGTGGTTACCATGCACGGTAGCATGGAGACTATTCAAGGCAGGGTTGCCAGATTTTCTTTTAAGCTAGTAGCCAAACCAAAATTGAAAGTAGCCCAAAATAGCCTACATCTAGTAACAAAAACCGTTATTTATAATTTTTATACATTTGAAGTTTAAAACCATTCAGGTTTGAGTTTGTTCTGAGTCTGGGGACAATCCTTTTCTAGTCGTATGTGGACAACCCTGAGAAATAGAGTAACTGCTTGTTGTTCTCAAGTAAGGGTAAGAATACAACCACAGAACATATAATACATACAAGTACAACTATGGTCGTAATAATCTAGTAGCTGCAATATGGGAAAAATTTGAGCTCACTTTGAACTTGATACATGTAATTTAGCTACTACTCAACAGATGGCAGCAATAAGCTAAATGCTAAAGTCCCTAGAATCTAGGCATTTTACTAAAAGCTTCCAAATCCAAACAGTTTACAGAATTCACAGCTTAAATATACGGTTCACAGTTCGCAGTAAAATCTAGAAACCGGTCGAACTAGATTTAAATTAAAAAATAATTCTCTGACAATAAATAAATACTTCATCTCTGGAATAATTAGTTAACTAAGGCAAATATATATGATTATAAAACTAGATTATTTTGCCTATGGTACAACTGACAACAAACAACAACTTTATTATCACAGATTACTCTTCTACTATCCATATTACTTATAAAATAACCAATTATTCTATGATTCTACAATACAGAAATGGGTATATAAAACATGAATAAATATAAGTTGAATAAAATATTTTTTATTCTATGTACAAGAGAAAAAAATAAACTTAAGTCGTGAGTAAAAAAAGAATTTATATAAATATACTATTCTAACATTCGATTTGTACAGATTGCTGACACTGGTGAAAACTCGAAATAGCCCAAATTGGCGACTGGCTATTTTTGCTTTTTTTTCAAGTAGCCGAAAGTCATCTGAGTTAGCCCAATTGGCGATAAGTAGCCCAATCTGGTAACCCTGCCTTAGTTACAAGCTATTTCCAAAAACCCACTCCTCATGACGACTACCTCCCGGGGGGCTAGACAAGTTGGCGAAGAAAGAAAAATCAAGACACGAAGAGCGCCAGAGGAAGCTCCCCTGCCGGCAGGGGCCAGCTAGGGCAAGAGGAGGTCCCGCAAAGCGCCTACACCGGCAATGCTTGTGGTCATTGTAGGCGATGGACGGGGCCTACCTTCACGAGGCTGCCCAGGCCTACAGAGATAAGGCAGGGCAAAGAGGGATAGTCCCCCTTGGTCCCAAATTATTGAGGCCACGTTTATAATAGTTATTCACCGCTTTTTTTTTATTAAATGTAATTTATTTATGGTGTAAAATATTGTTACCTACGTATTGTTTCTTGTTTTTTTTTTTAAATATTGTAAAAGTTTAAATTGTAAAGATGGACTACAGCACTTGCAATGCAGTCCACTGAAAAATCAATGGTGGGAAATACCAAACTTTATTGAAAAAGCAATTGAAAAGTGTATTTTGGACAAAAACAGAAGAATGGACCTTCACTATAAAAAATATCATCGAGCACATTTTTCCTACATTTCAATAGTACTTAAAATAAAACTACTCAATCATTATTTTTTTTCAATACTTTTGTATCTAAATTTTTCCACTTTCCTTGGTATGAAAGTCAACAGCTACCACTGAGATAATTATCGCATAGCAGGTACAAGAAAAAAAAAATAAAATTTTCAGATGAATTTAGTTAATTTTTGATTTTTTCTTAACAATGATTTTGTCTTCATTTAAGATAAGTTTTATTGTTTGAAATAGTAATTCAGTTCATTCTGAATGTTTAGAAGTATTACGAAATTCGACTACTTCATGCGATATTTCAAAAAACTATTGAATTCTTTATATTTATTTACAGGACATAATTAGTTTTAAATCAATGGCAATGAGGACAAACCTTGTCAAAGTTCCTATAAAAAAAACTTTAATTAGATTTCAGTGCTCTACAATTTATTTTGGAAAAAATCTATTTGGGCTCAATTGATGCCATCAAGTGGCTTTATCTGGCTTTCTATTTGTTAACAGGTTAGAGAGTTTTATGTGAACCACTCGGAACAATATAAAAAAGAAAATGTATATACAAATATAAAACGGTTTTTATTTAAACTAAACATGAAATATTTTCTAACGAAAGCTAATATGTACCTTAATTGTAATATACACTAATACATATATATATATTAAAAAAAAATTGAAAATGTCAGTTTAAACATTAAAATACCAAACATTTACATTTTTCAATAAATGTTCAAATTAAAAAAAATCAGATCAACGATAAACATATGAAAATATACAACTATATACAATAAATGAATACATTCCATTTTATTACATTGTAGAAATTTAGCTGCACAATAAAGAAACAAATTTGTTTGGCTCAGTGCAACTAGTTAAAATTTATCCAATATTTATACATAAATTTGTATACGTATATCACACAGAAAAAAAAACCTTAGCGTGGGGACATGTCAAAATATTTGTATGTAAATTTTAACACAAATTCAGAGAGAGAATACTATTTATTCTGAAAATTTACTTTAGATTAATTATTGTAAAATATTAATATGTCTTCCTTATAGTTCTCTAACATTGTGTAATAATTTAGTTTAGAAAAATATATATAAAAGTAGCCAGTTTGATAAAAAGTTAGAACATCTAATATGTTATTCAAATAAATTTGAATGGGATTTTATTTTTTTATTAGTACTTCTTGAAGAAAAATTTGGTTTGGTTGCTACATGAACTGCATAATTTGATGCTGCTTCAATATATTCTATATTATAAAAGTGTAGATATTGAGGAATGACCCTTTTTTGTGCCACTGACGCAATCGTAGTTTAATCCCTAAAATAATACAAATTAGTGTGAAGTATGAAAAATGTAGTTTAGAAGAAAATAAACTAAAAGTTCAGGTTGCACATTTACAGTGACACAAAAAGTACGGATCAAATGAAAACACAAAGCCAGTTGCCTGCATTGTTAGAAACTCTTAAAACCTTCAAACAATGCCAATAAATTAAATAAAAAAATAACATTTTCACTATTTCACATTTGTCCATTTTTGAGACTTCAAACTAGTATGCCTTCTTTACATAAAAGTTGAGATAAAAACATTCATACCTACACCCTTGTATTATAAAAAAAATAATAAAGGTACTTCAAATTGTGCAGTTGCCCATGCACAACAAAAATATTACAAAAAACAAGATCTTGAATTCAAACCAATACAGTGCTGTACACAGAAAACATTATAAAGCATTACCATAGTTTATCAGGAAAATCTCTTTTTTTTTGTGGTTAAATTTGATTCACTTTGAATAAAGTTTACTTTTTTAAAGTTTTTGTATTATCAAAATATTTTGTAATCAATCTCTTTGTGGGTTTAGATGAACTGCTTGAATTCGTTATTTTTTACACTCGAAATTTTATATATAAAAAAAATATATAAAAATAAAGTTTTAAATCTGTAAAACATGAGAGTTCAAAAACTTGTATGCACTTACTGTTTCAACAATATAATATATGACAAGTTAGAATTTTTGTAGTTTAATTTAAGAAAACTAATCAGAATCGTCATCTACTACGGTGGTAACAGATGAGCTAGCTGTGGATGTGGCAGGATTGGTTGGTTCAGAACTAGTGTTAATCCTTTGAATATTCCTTTGGTCTGTATTTCCACTAGATGAAGGGGAAGCTACTGTCACTACATTAGCTGTTTTAAATTTTGGATGAAATATCCCGGAACTAGTTGCTAACAGTTTACCAGATACAGTTATGGGTCCGTTTCCAACTAATTCATAGTTTCCTGGTGTTGTTTCTATTACAGTCAAATGATTTCCTGTTGTTGTCAGAGTCTGCTGCAACCCAAAAATATGAATCGATGGAATTAGAAACGTGAATGTGAATATAGGCAATAAAAAAAACAGGGTGCCCTGAAAAGGACAATGCTTCACCACAGGTTCCTTGGATGAAAATAAGACTATTTAGCGTAACTTACCTACATACAAAAGTGCACGCCCACTTATATAGCCTTCTAAATATAGAATAAATAACCTAGTTTTTTTCAAATAATCTGAAAATTATTTTTCTTAGAAACTTTAAATTTGGTACACATATTTTTTTATATAAGGGCAATGTAAACAAAGAATTTGGTGAGAATACATATACAGGATGTTCTCTTTCTAGTGCCTGTGCGCCTGTGGCTATTCTGTAACTTTTTTGTGTGTACGCCAGTGACGACATAATTTATATTTTTAAAAATAAGCACTATTTTAGAAGATTTTTTGCCTGGATTTCAAGTAAAATTGGCATTTTTATACATCAAGTATAGGGAAAAATTCCGATTACTAAAAAATAATTTGTAACTGCAGCCTCAAAGCAGGGAATAATGATGAAAAAACTTCACTTAAAAAAATTAACTACACATTTTTATCTTAGTATTATCAATTAATAAAATAAAAAATCAATAGTATTTTAAATAGACAATATCAACTAAAGTCAACATAAACATTTTAAATAAACCTAAAATATATTAAAATAATATAGTAAATGCTCAAAGTGATTTCCTTGTTCTTGAACACAGGCATTAATTCTTCTTAGGACATTAAAATGAATTTTATCCATTACCTACCTCTCATAACATTAATTTCATTTAGTATTCTTTCCCATAATTCGTTTTCTGTATTTACTAAAAAGCTATAAACTGTGGTCCTCAACGCTCCCCAAACGAAATAATTACATGGGTTTAGGTCCGTGGATCGAGGTGGCCATTTTAAAGGGACATTATTTCCTCTACCTATCCACGTGTTAGGGTAGTGCTCATTTAAGTATGTATTACCTTACTGATAAGGCAAAATGGAGAGGCCTCCTCATGCATGAAAATCGTATTAATTTGTAGTGTTATCGGTAACTCTTCAGGCAGATAGGGTAATCTTAATTGGAGAAATTCTAAATAATTTTCTTGCGATCAGCGTATAGCAGGTACTATAACAGGAGCAATTAAAATACTACCAATAATATCAGCTCAAACATTAATCTTAAATTCATGGTGGAACCGTCTTTTACTGATTCCATATGGATTTTCATCTCAATAAACATGTTCATTATGTGAATTAAAAATATCCCTTCTAGTAAAGGCAATTTCGTTTGTAAACAGGATTTTCTTGTGGATATTATCATCTCCATTTTCTGAGTTCCTGAATACTTTGACTGAAAGCAAGACGTGATGGATGATATCTATTGGTAACTAAAAGTTCTTGAACTGATTAAAGGTGGAATGGATGTAATAACTGGTTTTTAATACTCTATTAACGGAAATTTTTGAAAGCCAACCTCTGCCGCTAAACGCCTTTTACTTGCAGAATTTCTTCGATCCTTTCCAAAATTTGTTCCTCCAGCTGAATAGTTCACAATTTAATGTTACAGGTAAAAACGTCCTGTTTTGCGAAGGCATCTCTCCACATTAACAAATGTTTTGTAATTTGGAATTCTTCGATTAGGAATTCATTCAGCATATATTTGAACATTAGCAAACAATTTCCTTCACAATAACCCAAAACTAGTAACATATCAGTTTGTTCATGAAAAGTATAAATTGCAGCCATATTAAAGAAGATATTAAAAAACAAAGTAAGCTAAAATTAAAAATAACACCTAGCTTGACACTGAACCTTTTAACTATTGTTATGAATGTTTTTTTGTTATGTGGCACCTCGCACTAGACTGACCTAATTATCTTAAACTGGCAAAAAATCTTCTAAAATAGTGCTTATTTTTAAAAATATAAATTCTGTCGTCACTGGCATACACACAAAAAAATTACGAGATAGCCAGTGGCGCACAGGCAGTAGAAAGTGAACATCCAGTATATGTATTCTCACCAAATTCTATATTTACACTGCCCTTATATAAAAAAAAATACATGTACAAAATTAGAAGTTTCCAAGAAAAACAGTTTTCAAATTATTTGAAAAAAAAAATAGGTTATCTTTTCTGTATTTAGAAGGTTATATCTCAGTAGGTGTGCACTTTTGTATATAAGTAAGTCAGGCTAAATAGTCTTATTTTCATCCAAGTGGTCAAGTGTTGTCCATCCTTTTCAAGAACACCCTGTATAAATTGTGATAAATTTCCCAGCTTCAATAATTTAGCCGAAAAATTACATTAAATAATAGAACTTGTTCTAATTTATTAGACTAATTTGGCGGTTTTTAGTAAATTTTAACATTTATTCAATTATTTGTTTTTATTTTTAGTATTTAGGAAATGTGCTTATTATCAGGTACATATTTCTAAATTGTGTGCCCTGGCCGCCCCAGTACTTGTTAGTAAATGTAAAATGTCAGCAAAGAACCCCGAAGGACGGCCCTAGGGCTGCCCCCTCAGGAACAGGCTGCCCCGGGTAATTGCCCCCTAGCCCTTAGGAAAATACGTCTCTGCATATTATTGCAGTTGTGTAAATCTAATCTGGCATGTCTATTATGGTTTGTGTTTTACTATTATCACAATTCCTACCAATTATTTAATATCTCATTCATGCCATATAAAATAATATTTAATTTGCACTTTTAATATAAGCAGAGTGCAAAATTTATAAGTACTACAACTCTTTTACAGCTTTTCTCTATTCAAGAGTGACTGCTGGTATACCTAGTTATTGTACATGTAGATATATTAAAGAAATTTAATACTTTTATATAAAATTGTTTTATTTGCTGTGCCTTTACTTTAATATACTGTCAAAACTGCTTAATGCGGACACATCAGGGAAACGAAATTTGTCTACATTAAGCAGCTGTTCGAATGATAACAATATGTACATATGTATGTACAAAGATATTGTACTTAAAAATGAAAATTCAAAAAAGTAAACTCAGGCTAGGTAATTACTTCATATTCCATCCATGCTCTTTTGCTTTTTCAATGTCAAGACCTTTTCTAGCCACATAATCTAAACAAATTTTTAACTGGACTGGACCGTCATCGTTGCTCGTCTGTAAAAATAATCTTGCTAAAATTTTGACGGAGCTATGGCTGGTAATTGAACTGGTGGTATTTCATCTACTTTCTTGCTCCGTGCTTTTGAATTTTTTAAGCTGTCCGTATTAACCGACTTTTTGTCCGCATTAAGCGGAGTGTTTCAGTATACAAAATCCTCGTTTGATTCCGGACCAAGGCAATTTGTTCATATATAAGGCAACTGTCCACATTAAGCGGCTTTGGCTGTATTTATTTATTTTTTAAATGTGTCTGTACGTATATAAAAGTAAGCAGTGTTTAATTTTAAATAAAAATATTCATAAAATAAATACTAGGCAATGTAATAACATTCGAATCCTTTGTAAAATATTTGTTAAACATCAAGTTGTTTAAATTTAAGACTATATAATAATTCACTCTGTGAATTGAAGTCTCATCAGATAACGATATTTCAGTTTAAACAAACATTTTTAGTAAATAAGTGTTTTTATTCTTTACAGTAGAACCTCGATTATCCGTATGCGGATTGTCTGGGGTGTGGATTATCCATGCTATGTCTAGGAATTTGTAATGACGCGTTATTTTCTGTTTTTGTTCAGTAAAGACCATATAACATCATTTGTTGTGGCCAACACTTCTAATCTGCAGAAATTGCAAATTTTCTATTAGCCTATTTTGAGTAAGTTGACATTTTAGACTTACGTAAAATACGTCAGAAAATAAAGAAATACAAAAAAAGTTAAAAACAGACCAAAATGATTGACTGTTAATCTCTTAACTGGATATGATGAATATATCCGCGTATATATAGTCATGTTACTATGTTCATCACAAATATATTCGCGATCCCATTTTTGGAGGGGCTATTAATGGATAATTCGAATATGTTCGCCTGTGGTAAGGCATACACATCCCCACCCTTTGGTCTACAATTTCATGTAATATTTTCCTTATTTTACCACATATCGCTAGCAACACACAGCAGTTACACTTGGACATTAGGAAGGGCAGCATCATATCTAAAAGAAGGCGTTTATCGAACGACTCTGAGTCAGATCTGAGCGAAAGTCTCGACCTAAGCGAATCGGAATCCAGTGCATCTGGCGAAAGTGATTATAATGTGTTTAGTGACGAATCTTCGTCCGAGGAGTCTGATGTTGAGGATATTTTCTCAGATGTGCCTTGGTCGGAAAAAGGAATTCCTAGGCCTTATTTTCCCTTCACAGCACATTCTGGTGTACAAGCTACGATTGATGATCCGGATGATGTATTACAAATATTTGAATTATTTTTCGATGACACTATTATAAATATAATCGTCGAAGAAACAAACACATAATATTTATTTTCTAATAACTTTATAATTCTCACTTCATAATTGTATTTTGTAATTGTAGATACGCCATTCAGTTTATTCTTCAAAATCATGAGAACATCGGACCCAAATCAAGAGTTCGTAAGTGGAAAATCACAAACCCGGACGAAATAAAAACGTTTATTGCAATATTGATTTTGCAAGGAGTGTGCCTGAAACCATCTTATGAATTGTATTTCAGTAGACGAGAAAGCATTGAAACACCTTTCTTTGGCAAAATTATAACGGAAAGGCGATTTCACTTACTACTAAAGTTTATGCACTTCGCTCATAACAACCTGATGGATAAAAACCGACCCGATAGAAAATTATACAAAATAAATCCCATTTTGCAACACCTAAAAATTAAATTTATGTCTGTATATACCCCCGACAAAAACGTCTCTGTTGATGAGTCACTCGTGGGTTGGAAAGGTCGCCTTCAATGGAAGCAGTACATCCCTTCCAAAAGAAAGAGGTTTGGTATAAAAATGTTTGTACTTTGCGAAAGTTCTTCTGGTTATGTCTATAATTTTACGGTCTATACTGGAAAGGATACAGACTATGGAAATAAGTATAATCAGGAACCATTGGCAACAAGAGTTGTTTTACATTTGATGGACCCGCTATTAGACAAAGGATATTGCCTTTTTATAGACAACTATTATACAAGCCCCAACTTAGTTCAACGATTACTAAAACAAAGGACTGACTGTATAGGTACTCTTAGAACAAACAGACAAGGAGTTAAACCAGAAATAAAAAACAAAAAGTTAGAAAAAGGTGAAACTGTTGCGTTGTTTAGGCGTAAAGTTATGATTCTCAAGTGGAAAGACAAAAAAGATATAACGATGCTAAGCACTGTACATGATGATAGTATGATAGAAATAGAAAGAAGAGCGGGTACAGTAAGAAAGCCAAGCGTCATATTAGATTACAATAAACAAATGGGTGGAGTGGACTTAGCTGACAATCTCCTACATTTCTACTCCATGTCCAGAACCCATTTGAAATAATTTTACAAAAAAATTTTTCTGCATATGCTCAATATTACAATTTTAAATAGCTATTTATAAGAAAATGGAGGCAGGAAAAGTAGATTAACTTTTATCATCGAACTGGCGGAGAAACTTATAGCAAAATATGGGAAAGCAAGAAATATTTAATCAAGGCGCTCTAAGGTTAGTAATATAACACGTTATACTGAAAGGCATTTTCCTGCGATTATTCTGCCCACAACCCACAAAGAAAAACCAACTAAAAGATGCGTATTATGCACAGAAAAGGGAATATGAAAAGAATCGAGATATTGGTGTCTGGATTGCAGGACCGGCTTATGTCCGGCTCCATGCTTTGGTATATATCATACAAAATAATGTCGCTATTTTTATGTAAGTTAAACTTAGTACTGCCAATAAAGTTCATTATTATGTATTCTCATTCTTTATTTGTCCTACTTTACAATGAATAAAGCGTATATATTCGCGCGCGCCCATGCGCAATGAATATGACGAATATGTTCGCTAGCAGTAATTTGAGGTGCCATTACATTACTGACCAACGTAAACGTTGTGTGCCAGTTAAGAGGTTAAAAAAGTATAGCTAGGTACTTAAAATAAATGTACCTAAATTGCATTTTCAATGATTTTGTGCATGTTTACCTCCTATGTATTGCTCCGTTTCTTATCTTTTGATTATCCGTGTTTTTCAATTATCCATGCCGCGCTAGGTCCCATAGATCACGGATAACCAGAGTTCCACTGTATCTGAATTTTTTTTCTACTGCTGTTATGCACTTTAGGTTAAGTGTAATTATTGTTAGTTGACTATTGTTATACAACTTATGTTGTCCACAACAAAATAAAAAAAATCAGTCGAATAGTTTAGTAAATGCATTAATCTATATTTTAGTAGTATAGCAGATTTAGCAAATTAGATTGTTAAATAACTGAAGATACACTGTAGCCAAGTATGTTATAACCAAGGTTGACTGTTTTGCCGTTTTTTTTTTACATTCAGAGGCTATGTCTTGGCAGTGATACTATTAATTTTCACCTGCAATTTCCTGCATGGACCCTTTCATCATTCATAATTCATTTCATTTATCAATTTTTTATATACAGACAAAGCTTCTTATTCGCGGATTTGCGAACCAAAAAATTGTGACCACTTCCCGTATTCACGGGTGAAAAATTCTGTATTCGTGGATTCAAAACTAACGATACATATTTTATTTTTAGAATGTGTATTTATTTGTCAAAATAAACAAGTAGGTTACAAAATATTTATAAATAAACTAGTGTCGTGAAGCTGAAAGGTCCTTTAACAAAAGTCGGCGCTGACGCCACTCGCTTACACATGCCACTATGGCCTTATTGATAAATGTGACATTAAACTTAAAAAATCTGAGTGAAGGTTTACGAATGATAAATGTGCTTTGTGATTTCTTCATGACAATTGATCCGTCTATGGAAGCAAATTGATAATGTCACAGCTGAATATTAATCCGATGTAAAAGATCTTTTATTGGCTGCAAAACCAGAAAAAATCACTAAGTTCTTTAAACCATTGCCTAAACTGATAATAATAATTAATATCGTTAAAATTTATCTCAATAAATTACTTTTATTGAGATTTTTTTATTATTTTACAACAATGGAACGTATCCCCTATATTTCCATATAAAATGCCACTCCGTATTGGCAGTACATTTCCGGAATGCATCCCCCGCGAGTAAGGAATTTTGACTGTAATTCATCAGAGAGTTCTTACAATGTTAACAGGTTTCGTAAAAGATTAGAAATTTGATAAGCCTATAATAGTCCAGACGGTATCTGGGCCGATTCAATTTCGAGCAGGCCGAAGAGGCCGCGCTCTCTGCTTCCCCCACCACCACCACCCGTACGATTTTCTTGAATTTCTCCCTTGCATAAATAACTTTAAACACGTTTTAAAGTAGGTTGCCAATGAAGAAAAGTATTGTAACCTTAGACCTGGTAAGTACTCGGAATACCAAAGGCATTTTTCGAAAAATTTGCCCGGATGTCCCAGTACATTTAGTGTAACTAACTATAACTACATAACTAATTGACCAATCGTTCTGTTTTTTTTTAAAGAAGCGTCTTTCCAAGAACTTTTAAAACCTGCTTTAAAAAGCGCCAGAGCTCTCCTAATTGACGGATTCGGATTTTTCAAAAAAAGTTTGAAAGCTTGAGAGCCCTTCTACATGTGATTAAATTTTCAAGTATCTAAGGACCTTGGTTTTTGCTGTGCAAAATTTTGAAAATTTGCAATTTTTTTTCAAAATTATTATGCAAAATCTATCGAACCGATTTTGATGAAATTTGGTGTGATAATTCTACATAACATGAATTTTTTTCGAGCCAAGTATAAAGGTCCTATACCCAATTTAAATACCCCAAAAAAATTCCCTAAAAAGTATTGTTTTTTAACCCCATTTTTGCGATTTGTTCGATTTTTACCATAATAATCATGATTCATTCGATTTGTAATTAGACATGTTTTGTAAATATTTTAATAGCAAACATTTCTTTCCTCTTCCATTTTCGCCTAAAATCAACTCTTGAAAAGATACATAATTAAATAGGAAGAAAAATATGACATTTTTCGAATTTTTTTAACATATTGTGCCGTCAAAAGTTAAGCCCACGTTTTTTTTTTATGTGCTTAGAAAAATTTTCATTTCTAGTGATATTTAAAAGCCAAAAAGCCAAAAATCTCCGTGGATAGACGAATCACCTAAACCAAAACAGATACCGCCTAGTCTATAAATGATAAAACTGCAATAGGAAGAAAAATATGACATTTTTCGAATTTTTTTAACATATTGTGCCGTCAAAAGTTAAGCCCACGTTTTTTTTTTATGTGCTTAGAAAAATTTTCATTTCTAGTGATATTTAAAAGCCAAAAAGCCAAAAATCTCCGTGGATAGACGAATCACCTAAACCAAAACAGATACCGCCTAGTCTATAAATGATAAAACTGCTTGTTATGAGACATTATAAAAAACAGCAGTAGCCATGTTTTGTTGATCCCTGAAGAATGAAATGCCCGAGAAAAAAAAACGATTAGTTAGATTGTCAACACTGCAAGATTTAATACGTTAAGATGCTGCCAGTTGTTTACAATTTGAGGTATAATTCAAACTCGTATACTTTGCAAATCACTTATTGAATTTACTTTAAATTTTCAGAAGCATATTTTCAGTACTACTTCGCATTTGTTAAATAAGAACTGAAAACTAATATTCACCAAACAAAATATTTCCATGGATTTCAACTAATTTTTTCTACTCGAAATAAATATATATTTTTTTCATTTTATGATGTCAAACAAGTATTTTTTTTTTTAATTTAAGAATATAAATACGTACCTTAAATGTTTTAGGTGTTCCCGCATTTCTATTCATGTACACTTTGGTAGGTTTGGCAACAATTCTCTGAAAATAAATAATAATAATCATAACAAAATAATTATTAACAAAGTTTATTGATATTAAGTTGTACATTTCATAATAATAACATTTTAATATTGTGACGTGCCACAATGAATAAGTATAAAACTCACCCCCATCCCAGGTTTTGGAGGTGCCGCAGGTCTTAAGATTAACTGCTGTCCTGAAGGACGATTGGGAGGTGCTGAAATATTATTACCCTTTTCTATGTTTTGTGTACATTTGCCCACATGTTGCGGCCAATGCTTCTGTTGGCAGGGATAATCACAATAACTTGTATTCCAACAGCAGTAAAACTGTGCTTCCTTAGAACAATTAGCACACCTAGTAAAAATAAAAATTAAATGAGACTGCGTACGCTGTAATATAGTCTGAAATTTACAAATACACCTGTTTCACTTAAATATGAAAATCTTAAAAATAGCAATAAAAATTAAAGAAACCCATATATTTTTTTGGAGGCCAAGACCGCCCAGGGCATTCTGCCCTATCAATAAATTGTATAAACCAGTAGAAATAATTTCAAGTAACATAGCTTTTATATTAAAATTATCCAAATTTAACAAAAAACTCATAATGAAAAAATCGATTTTATATAAATATACAGGGTGTCTCATAATTAGCTGCCAACCCTGAACAGGCCGATTCTATGATCAAAACTAAGTAAAAAAGTTCATATGAACATGGGTCCAGAAATGCTTCCTAAGGGCACAGGGACCCATTGAAGAGGGAGGAATGGAAATCATTTTTTTGCAATCTTTCAATCGCGTTGAGAAATAAATGAATGAAATTTGGTATACACAGCTAAATTTTGATGAGCAATTTGATGGACTAATCCATTTATTTCCACAAGGTCTGTTGGGGTGGGTACGGGGGGGCCCTTGGTACTTTGCGTGTGTAACTTTTTCAGCTTTGACTTTTTAACAAATTGGACAGCAAATTCCGTTTTCCCAAACTGTTTTACGTTAAAAAGGTACTGTTGTTTCAAATCGTTATCTTTAACGGTTTCTGAGAAAATCGCTCTTGAATTAATCCCACTTTGGTCAATTTCATAGTAATTTAAACAAAATTATCAAGGTATTCTTATGTCAAAGTATTGTCAACCCGATTGCCAATTTAATAGTTCTAAGCGAAAAAAATGGAAGAGTTTACGGGACAAGAGTTAGTTGATATGATATTTATTTATGGCTTTTGCGATGGTAATGCTGCAGCGGCAGAACGCGAGTACGGGAGAAGGTTTCCAAACCGAAGGCTGCCATCAAGGAGGACATTCCCTACGGTATTCCGCAACTTAGCTGCAACCGCCACTTTTCGAAAGGCACCGGGTCAAGGACGTCCCAGGATTAATAGGGAAGCGGAGGTCCTTGACGCTATTGAACAAGATCCTACGACTAGCATACGGAACATTTCAAGGCAAATAAATGTTCCTCGGCCAACGGTACTACATATCTTAAAGATTTCCTTAACAGAATTGATTAGATGTGCTACTAACATTTCAGGTTGGAAGAATATTAAAGCGACAAGGTCTACATGCCTATCACTATCGACGTGTACATGGCTTGATACCAGAAGATTTTGCGCCACGTATGCAATTTTGTCGCTGGATTTTGTCGCTGGACAACGAGCAAGCTTCCAAAATTTTGTGGTGTGACGAAGCTACTTTTACCCGAAATGGAAAATTAAATTTTCATAATTCTCATTATTGGGAAGAAGAGAACCCACATGTTGTTCGGAGAACAAACTTCCAGCAACGGTTTTCCATAAATTTATGGGCGGGAATAATTCACGACACTCTGATTGGACCTATTGAAATTCCACAACGTCTCAATTCAAATCTTTATTTAAACTTACTTCAAGAAAATCTTCCCCAAATTCTCGATGATCTGCCTCTAAATTTACGACGTAACATGTTTTTTCAACACGATGGAGCCCCGGCACATAGTGGTCGCAATGTTCTAAATTTCCTAAACGAAAATTTCGCTGGACGGTGGATAGGGAGGCACGGACCGGTAGCTTGGCCGCCGCGTTCTCCCGACCTAACCCCGCTGGACTTCTTTTTCTGGGGATATCTAAATCAAAAAGTTTACGCCACCGAAGTCGATACCCGTGAGGAATTGCTGCAGCGTATCAATGATGCAGCCAATGAAATTCGTCAAAACCGTTTTAGCATCTTAATAGCTTCGAGAAGTGTTACACGTAGGGCAAGACTTTGTATCAGAGAAGGTGGAGGGTTTTTTGAACAGTTTTTAAAATAGCTTGTTGTCTGTTATCAAAATTAAGTTTCCATCTTATGATCCCTTCGAAAAGTGACGGTTGCAGCTAAATTGCGGAATACAGTGAGGAATGTCCTCCTTGATGTCAGCCTTCTGTTTGGAAACCTTCTGCCGTACTCGCGTTCTGCCGCGCAGCATTACCATCGCAAAAGCCATAAACAAATCATCATATCATAATTGTTCTACATCAATAATGTGTATTACTGATTACGTATTAAATTATTATTATTATTTTTTGTTTAAATTACTATGAAATTGACCAAAGTGGGATTAATTCAAGAGCGATTTTCTCAGAAACCGTTAAAGATAACGATTTGAAACAAGAGTACCTTTTTAACGTAAAACAGTTCGGGAAAACGGAATTTGCTGTCCAATTTGTTAAAAAGTCAAAGATGAAAAAGTTACACACGCAAAGTACCAAGGGGCCCCTCGTACCCACCCCAATGGACCTTGTGGAAATAAATGGATTAGTCCATCAAATTGCTCATCAAAATTTAGCTGTGTATACCAAATTTCATTCATTTATCACAACGCGATTGAGAGATTGCAAAAAAATGATTTCCATTCCTCCCTCTTCAATGGGTCCCTGTGCCCTTAGGAAGCATTTCCGGACCCATGTGCATATGAACGTTTTTACTTAGTTTTGATCATAGAATCGGCCTGTTCAGGGTTGGCAGCTAATTATGAGACACCCTGTATAAACCTGACCTTAATTTTTGCAAAATCCTATCAAAAAGATTGCTCACCATTTTCTAGACATCCTGCATAATTTCAAAAATAAATATGTACTGCCAAAACAAAATAATCTGTGATGTGAATAATACCATTAGTGTGGGAACCGCAATTATAGCGTTCATGGCAAACATTATTTTGAGCGAAAAAGCCTTATTACTCATTCAAAAATGTGTATCAGGTGGTTGAACGTCATTTAAAGTTGCAGACTCACTCGACCTAACAGAAAATATGGTTCATTCGATTTTCTTTTAGACATATGAATGCCTTCATACTATCCGATATATCATTATAATCATTTAGATAGTATACCTGCACTTGGTTTGGACAAAAGCCATAAAGCATTCTAAACTATAAGAAAAAACACATACTGTTACCTGACTAGTTACAATTCATAAAATGTTGAATTTAAGGAGGTTCAATACCGAAAGAAAATGGTAAAAAAGTTTTCAAAGCAATTGAAATTTGTTAATAAATATGCAAACTGCCTCATGTAAAAATATCAGATCGATTGTCTACATAGTTTTTTTGAAAAATGATATCAAAAATTATTCTCTTATATCCCATAAGAATGAGAGTTGGGAAAAAACTCTCATCAAACATGAGTATTGCTCTTAAAAATAGTTAGAATCGAGAAAATAAAATTGTAATTAAAGAATTAAATATTACTAAACATTTTAAAACAATAAAAATATGCACTTACAATGTAATTATTACGATAATGGAATGAATACATAACGCTTTGACAATTTTGAACAAACATCTGACCCAATGAAAGGAAATATGGCAATGCTGTATATAACGCTTCGACTGACGTGCTATATTTGAATAGCTCGATTATAGACTATAAAATTATTGCAGTCGAAAACAAATGTAGTAATAATTAATACTAAATAAATTTTTTGTGATCAAATGCATATTAATAGCAAATTGAAACAAAAATTGAAAGGATCTCTGCAAAACGAACAGTATAGTATAGATATTCTGACATAACCTTTAATTCGACAAGGCGACGTCTTACTACCATACCACAGAATATCCTAACTACACAGAAGCGACAAAGTGGTTTCCCGCGTAAGCCGATTTCCAGTAAGCATGTGCTAAAATCGCCATGGAAACATGTTGTTTTTCCGTCAAAGAACCAAGCTTATTTAGGCAATCGATAATTCAATCCAACTTCACTTTTGTGTATTTATTATTAGTATTTATTTATTCTAGACTTAGTGTGAATGATTAATATTAGTAACTATTTAAACAGACAACAGACATAATATTTGTGATGTATCGTCGAGGGGGTTATCATTGTTTTTGTCGAGGGTGCCCATCCAAAACTGGTAGAGAACTAAGTTTCTTTCCATACCCGAAGACTCGAGCAGGTAGTGTAATAATTAGCTATGTATTACAAAATTTGAAATATATTGAATGTATACTAGAATCATTAAGTATATGTTTTGATAATTAATAAAAATCTAAATTTATGTACATTATATACCTACCTAAATAGTATTGAATGAAATAAACTAAACAATTTCCTTTTAGAGCTTCAGCATGGTTGAGAGCGTGCAATAGAGAAGATCTTCTCGAGAAAAATCCAGACACATAATTATCGACTTTGCGAGCTACATTTTGAACAAAAATATTTGTTCAAAGGTGGACTTCGGAAAACTTTATTTGTTATCTTTGTATAAAATGTTACAAATATAGGGTGGTCCGTAAGTAATAGCCCATAGAGAAATACTGGATTCTTTACTTTTAAGATTTTTTAATAATAAAAACTTGTTACTTAAAACTTACTCATTATTTAAAAGCATTACGTTACTCGTAAAAAAAGTTACACTCACATTTACGTCACACACATGTGGTGCCCTCTAGAAAATACATCGAAATAAATAACAGATGATCTCTCGTACCAAAAACATTTACGCCAAAAATTTTTACATTCTTATATTCAATAACATAATTATTACCAAAATTTAATTTCTAACTTCGACACCCTGTATCTTTTTTATTATCAACATTTTATTAAGAAATGTTGGCTCCAATCGTAATATTTTGAGGTAAAGAATCTAGTATTTCTCTATGGGCCATTACTTATGAATAGTAAATAATGTGTATTTAATATTAAAAAATAAATATTTTTTTTGTGGTATTTCGATTTATTTGTAACTATGTCCCATTTACACGAAATTTTTAATTATAGTAGTAACAGACGCGTATCATGTGTAAATCAAATGCTTTTTTTTAATTAAGCATAAAGTCATGCCTTACATCGACAACCAATGTAATATAATTTATGTCCAACTGATTGTTTTATGCCACAAGCTATTGGAAATTGTAGTGGAATTATGGATTATATTATTCATTCATATAAAAATTTAAAGGCTTAATATCTCAAAGTAAGTTTTATAAACTGTTTTTTCAGTATATCTCTGATAACCTTTCTCTCAGTGTAACATGTTGTTCACCACCGTTCAAGGTCGAATATTTTCACCACGCCAACATCAAAGGAGCCGCCGTTTATGTCACTTCTGTGTAGTTAGGATATTCTGTGACCATACACTGAGCTTCTTGATAGTTCATAGTTATCACATGGATTCTCCTTTTGCACATTTTGCTATTTTCCCATCAATCCACATTCTATCTGTTTTAAACATCTTTTATATTGCTTTTCAGTCTTTACTTTTCCTTTGTATGTTGGATGTACGAGGTCTGTTAGAAGAGTATCCGACCTTTGGCCAAAAAAAAAACAAACTGGCATACCTGGAGCATTGGAAACCTAATCACCCTCGAAGTAGTCTCCTTGAGACTCCACACACTTCTCCCAGCAGTGCTGCATTCTGAGAGAGCCTCCTTCGGCATGGAGTTTAGCTCAGGTGTCGTTGCAGTCATAATGTCCTCTCTTGTCTGAAATCGCTTTCCTTTCAATGGCCTCTTGAGTTTGGGGAACAACCAGAAGTCACAGGGGGCCATATCAGGAGAGTAAGTAGCTTGTCGAACCACAGGAGTCTGGTTTTTCACCAAAAAAGTCTGAATGCGATGAATGTGCTGGAGCATTGTCATGATGAATGTGCCAATCTCTTGTTGACCACAACCCCGTTCTTTTGCGTAGCACAGCATCACGTAGCCGTCTGAGGACATCCCTGTAGTACGCTTTGGTGATTGTTTGACCCTGAGGTGCCTACTCGTGGTGTACCACACCGCGGGAGTCAAAGAAAATAGTCAGCATCACTTTGACATAGCTGCACACTTGGTGGGCCTTCTTTGGTCTTGGTGTGTCATGGAATGCTTCCACTGTGACAACTAGGATTTGGTTTCCGGGTCGTACCCGTACACCCAAGACTCGTCACCAGCGATGACGGTGTTCATGAAGTCCTGTGAGACTTCAACATGAATTTCGCTGCAATTCTCTTCATGACCAAATCTTGGGTCATAATGGAATGTGCCGAAAAAGTGCTGATGCCCATCTCTTCCGCAATTTCTCGGATAGTCATACGACGGTCCCGCATCACCACAGCATTCACTTTGGCAATGACTTCGTCATTTCAGCATGTTGATGGCTGACCGGACCAATGTGCGGCCATCTTTAAACCAGTTGTACCACTCAATAATCTGTGTGATGTCCATAGCATCATCACCGAAAGCTGTCTGCATCTTCCGAATCCTTTCCACTTGGCTGTCGCCCAATTTCTGGAAAAATTTGATGCAGTAGTTTTGCTCCAGTCGTTCCGTCGTTTTCCTTGCAATAAAGAAACCAACGAGAACACTACACACTGTCTCACTCAAACGCTGCTTGCCTGCGACTGACGCTATAGACAGACGGGAAAAAATTCACGCATGCACCCAAAGGTTCAAGATAAGCTCATGCAAGTGCGCTTGATTCAAATCCATCAGGTTTTCATAAAACAAAATAAGGTCGGATACTTTCCTAACAGACCTCGTATATGTTCATTCATGTTTACGGTATACGCGCTAAGCACAGTTGACAGTTGATCCAACTTTTACTACTAGGGCATACTGATGTGCAATGTTGCCAGATTTCACCCATAGTTTTAAATAAACACTTTTATTCAAATAAAAAGTTAATTGTCATGCATTAAACATGAAAAATATATGCAAGCTAATATGTGTTGTATAAATTTAATTCACATACATGATATTTAGTTCGCTCAAATTAGTTTATGTAAGGTTGGTACTGCAACGAATACTCTCGTGTGTAAGCATAGGCTTCCCTCCCATACCGCCTGCCCCGCAAGAGATCTATCAAAACTCCTTAAATACTAAACTGAAGGGGAAATAGTGACTCCCATGTTGATCTGTTATAATGAGTGAATCGCGACTCCCCCTTAAATTCACAGCATATTGAAGATACAATTTCTGCGGATGCCACTTTCTGTGGACTGATTTCGAGGGATATATTCGGAGCATTCTCACATTTACAATTTTATTATTTGTATCATGTTAGATAATGCCCACTTTTGCTTTCAATTAACAGTTTATCAATTCAAAAAGTATGAACAAAAAAATCGTTTCACGTATTCCTTACATTTTAATTTCGGGAATGACAACCCACATATGCCTCGATTTATGCATATAAAAAAATCACAAAACAATTTTAAGACTCTCAAAAACAAATATGTATAATTTATTTTTAACTTACCATTGTTTGGATTTAGACAATTCAACTCTTTTAATCGTCTCAGCTTCGCAAGCAGCTCTGGTTTCATCGATAATACGTTCTCTATCTTCAATTATACTTTTTTGTATATCTTTAAGGATTGTACAAACATTTTTTCGTATCTCTGCCATTTCCACGCTGTGACGATGTTTTAAAGCTTCAATTTCCATTTGCAGACTTGTTATTTTAGCTTCAGGAGTGGCAGACTTGCCGAGGTCTTCAAGGGTCTCTATTAACATACCTCGGAAGTAATCTCCCAGCTGCAAAATATCAGAAGATATATTTCACAATCATGGAATATAATTTATTGGACTGTACTAAGATTTTGCTCTATCTACAGTGACATAAATAAATATAATTGAAAAGATATAAACACAACAAATCACTTACTCTATATGCCACAGCGTTAATTTTGGCAGTAACGTTTCCGGCAGAGCTAGGTATCCCTTCATCAAATATTGTGCTTAATGGCCCTGGAGGTCTAGGTTTTAATTTGGGTGGAGCTCTTAGGAGTAAATCGCTTACTGCCCTACTAACAGTTTCAGGTAATAAACCATTAAGGACAGTAAATTCATCATCTTGTGCTGGTTCAACAGTAGGATTAGTATTATTCTCTGTATCTGGTCTCTGATTTGACTCTCTTGTAGCCGTTACTGGCTGGATAAGTGTATTATTTGCGTCTGCGTTAGTATTAACGGAATTATCACCTCTTTCTTCACTTTGTGGAATATAATTCTGAGACGCTACTACATTAGGTGCAACCGGTATGGTTTTATGTAATGTGTGCGTTAACGGAGGTGGAGAAGAATTAGCTGCAGTTGTACAGACAACAGGTGAAACCTGGAATCAAATAGATGTTCTACAGAAATTTCAAAAAGTACACATAAAAAAGTAGTTGATATCTATGTTATGAAGGCTCTGTACAAGGTTTCAATTTATATTTTTAATCTAGGTAGATTTATTTATTTATATAAATATAATCGTTAGTAGTAAACAAAATGTATCACTGAAATTAAACTAAAATAACAAAGTGGCAACTTATATGTAGCCATGAAGAATATTAACTGTAGGGGTGACTCCGGGAGGGTTACGTAAACTAAATCATTCTTAAAAAAAAATGGACGATATATAATAGTCTACTATGTGTGTTGATGAATTTGTTAAAGATTCAAGTTTAACCCATTTTTCAGGGTGGGATAATTAATATTATTATTTAATTTAAAACGTAAGCAGCATGAGAAAGTGTTTTAGCTTGTTTAAGATTTGTAACATGTACATTATTAAGTATATTCTAAATATAATCTTGCCAATGTATAACATAGATAAATGCTTGATTATTTTGAAAATCCTATGTGCACTGTTTTATAAGTATAGCTTTTTGTGATTTATTAAAAAAGATATACTTAATCTAAAGCTCAATGTTCAATTAAGAATAACACAAACCTTTGAATACAATAAAGATATTCAAAAGGTTCTGTAACTGACCTATTTATAATGTAATTCTATCCTTGTATCCTTTTTAGCAAATTCTTCAATAATATCATTATAAAAGTTGGGATATTCAGACAACTCTTTCAGTACATCCTTTTCTATTGACAACAAAGATAGTTCTGAAAGTTTGTATTCCCGTGTGGAATTTATGACAAAATTTCTTAAATACAGAAAAACTGCATTTTACAGGAACACTATTAGCAGCAATTGTTAATACTAGTTCATAGAGTTTTAGCACTTCACAGTAGGCCCTATGCAATCCCGTTTGTTGCAAAAAGTTCAATAATAA